CCCTGAGGCAGGTACTGATGTTCCAGCAGGGAGGCCAGGGCCAGGATCCTTTCTTGGTAACTTAGGAGTCAACAGCAGGCATGAAGGGAAGGAAGGCTTGGCTCGGGGGCCTTTAGATCAAAGGGGCCTCTGAGACTTGGTTGCGCTGGCTCCTCTTTGTTGGAGTGAAGTCTCCACAACAAGCATACTCCATCAGTGATTGCGTCAGTTGGGACTGTAGCAGGAAATAGATGGTACACTGAAATGGTCACTTGGAGAGAGTTTTTGTTGTTGTTGTTTTGGTTTGGTTTTTTTTTTGCGGTACGTGGGCCTCTCACTGCTGTGGCCTCTCCCGTTGAGGAGCACAGGCTCCAGACGCGCAGGCTCAGCGGCCATGGCTCACGGGCCCAGCCGCTCCCTGGCATGTGGGATCTTCCCGGACCGGGGCACGAACCCGCGCTCCCTGCATCGGCAGGCGGACTCTCAACCACTGCGCCACCAGGGAAGCCCCTGGAGAAAGTTTAATGAATGGATTTTTTCAGAGACATGGACGGGGCCAAGGGAATCAGCAAAGGATGAAGCACCCAGAGAGCAGCAACAGTGGAGAGTGCCTTCTGATGATAATTGGCAATCCCACGGAGCTGCCACTTGGAAACTATATGTACCAGCTGAGGACTGAACATCTGACCATTGTGGTGCATCATTCCCTTATCACTGGAACATCTACAGGTATTATTAAACCCATTTTACAGATGAGGCATGTTAAGGAATGTACCCAATGCCACACCTCCAGTAAGTGAGGAAACAGATTTGAGTACAGATCTGTCTGGATCTAAATGTCATGTCTTTTCCGGCTGCAAGCATTACATCTCTCATTCAAGGCAGTAAGAGGTGAAGGCAGGGGTGGTGTCATCCTTACCTGTCCCTTTTATTATGAAAGCAAAAACTGCTGTGTCATCCCCAGAAGACTCCCACTTATTTCTTACTGGCCAGAATTGTGTTATATGACCCCACCCCTCCAGTTGCAAAGCAGGCTGGGAAGGCAAGTATTTGGCTTTTCCATCCTGTATAGTGGAAAGTGATAAGGGAGCAGGAGTTGAGAATGATTCTTAGGTCCACCAACTAATGACTGACTTCTTTCTAGAGTTTTTTTGACACAGTCTTTCTTTAGATAATTTGACACATTCCATCTGGTTTTGATCAATTAATGCAAGATTCTTCACTTTCTGGTTATTTAAGGTGACAGCATATTTCTGATCTATTATGTATTGGTTTCTCCTGTCTCTGGGTTTCTGTGAGGCACTTCACACGAAAGCCGGTGGGTGCTAACAATAGTGCCTATGGTACCAGGATTAGAGATCAGTGGAAAGCCCTAAACACACTCCCTGGCACATAGCAGGTATTTGGCAAATGGTCGCTATGATCATTATTCATCATTTCTGCCTTTGCACAATAGGGGAAGGTCTTGGAGGGAGGTGGCTGGCTATGCAGATGGTATTGACAAATGGAATTTGGATGTGCGAGCTGTGGTTTAAGACACCAGGATGATGCATTCCTGGCTAAGTGTGAAGAATGGACGGAGGGGCAGATTGCATTTGTTCAGAGGGTAGCTAACAGATGTAGAGCTTTACACTGAGCGGGGCCAGAGAAGAGAGAAAACCGTAGCCAGATAAATCGCTGAAATTGGTTCTACAGAGAATAGGAATTGTGAGTTAAAAGTGGGAAATTGTGATTTTGAGACAGTTGGGGAAGTGAACTGGAGATTGTAGTACTCTAGGCATTGGGCTGACCTCGTTGTGTTGCGATCATGTCACGTTTACATTTGCTTTGCCTTGTCAACATAATCTGGAATAAGATAAGCACCATCCTAACCTTCCCAAAGGGGATGGAAGTAGATTCCAGACCTAGAGATGGCATTCAGTCTAGATGATGGCTTAGATGAAAAAGAGATGTTCCCAGGCACCTGCCTGAGGAGTCTATGGAAAATTATAACAGTATCACTTACATCACATTTATTATGTGCCAGGCACTGCTCTAAATACTTTGCTTAGATGGTTTCATTTAATCTTCACAATAGCTGTGTGCAGTAGATACTTTTATCATCCCTGTTTTACATCTGAGGAAACTGAAAAACAGGGAGAGAAGTGACTTGACTAAACTCACGTGGCTCGTAGTGGTTTAAACCCAGCCAGCCTGCTCTGGAGGCCAGGCTGAGTCCCCATGTCAATATAGGTCAATTAGGTTGGCTTAAATGAATTTCCTTCTAAATGGAAGGAAATTTAACTTTCCTTAAAGGAATTGCCTACAAAACTGGCAATCAGAGCAAAGTGGTGCGATGTGCGCTTGCTTTTGAAATAAGTCAATTCTATTATAGAAGAAGAAGAAACTTGTAAAATATAGGTGAAACATTTTAAGGTGTGTTAGATATAGGCAAGCAGTTAGTAAGTAGGACATATGTGTTAAACATAGATGGGAAGGCAAAAGATATCTGATATTCATGAGGTCCTGGGTATTAAATATTCAGTCATATAAATGTATATGGGATATATGAGGTACTAAATATAAAAAAAGGCATAAAGTATTCAGGTTACTAAATGAGCACATAATATTAATGAGGTCCTAATTCACGTAGCCATTCTAGCCCCATGTATCCTCTGCCCAAGAAACACACATAAACCCAGGGCTGGTCATCAGCTAACTGGTGAGCTATAGCTGTGGCCAGAGGTACTTGTCCCTTTGTTTCTCCAATGGAGCCAATGTGTGATGGGCCCAGGGCAACTTCCATCCTTGGGCCCCCTTGCTCAAATCTCAATTTTGATCTTTGTAACTATGGCATCAGTAGGAAAGACGTGTGCGTGTGTGTGTGTGTGTGTGTTTGTGTGTGTGAGAGAGAGAGAGAGAGAGAGAGAGAGAGAGAAGACAAATGAACACTGCTAACCCAGGATTCAAGCAGTGAGGTCCTTCTACCCTGGCTGCACCCTATCTTAAGTGTGTTAACTCATCCTGGTCTCTTTTCCCTTCTTTCTCACTATGTGTTACAAATGGATTTTTAACAAACCATCCCATGACCTCCTGGTAGTATTTTCGGCATTCTGGTAGCCTGCAATGGCATCAAGATAATGCCCCACAGGACAGTGGTACACCTAGGCTGTTGGGACCTCAGCAAGACCCCTGATGATGGTACGTGAGATCCTTGTGGGCAAATATAAGCTGGGAGGTACGACAAACAGAAGGACTCCTGCCTGCTGGTGGTGGCAACATTCTGGCACCAGGGCCCTAGGAAGAGGTTCCTGGTGATGCTGCATCTCTCTGGTCTGTTCTGGTGATTAGGTGAAGACATACAAGTTAATTTAATCAAATTTAAAGAGGTGACAAATATTTGAAGGTCTTCATGTTGGAGAAGGGTTTCATCTGTTCTGATTTTCTGAGTTGAGCTGTGGGCCATCAGTTCCACTTGGGGCCAGATGCTGGGATGTGAGGGGGAGGGAGAGTGTGGGGACTGGCCGTAGAATGTAACGAGGGGCCCTTGAGTCCACAGAGCACCGAGTGAGGTGACATGGGGAAGGATGAGAACAGAGCTCAGCCCCAAGAGTTGTGCGTGGAAGGAGGGAAGTAAGAAAACTGGTCCTAGGTGAGGTGTACCACAGAGCAGGAGGTAAACAAAACCCAGGTGCCCCAGTAGAGGGGATCAGTGGTTTTCCTGGGGAATGTGAAGGAAGCTGCTAACCCCCAGCATCCTGGGAACCAAATCCGTCTAGTATCTAGGATCTGCTATGCCCATGTTAAGCCTGGCTCACTACATAACCATTGATAAGTATAGGAATTGTGGATACTACAGGCTTGTTCCAGCAATCCTGCCCTCACACTCTTCCTAATTAGTTCCTATCTCGCTTCTTTCAAACTCTGAATCAGTGTGGCATGAGCCTTTGAGCTGGGACTTTGGAACCCGGCTTTCTCTAAAGAAGTAGTTTTCAAAAATTTTTGACCTTGATCCACAGTAAGAAATACTTTCACATAAAAATGAAGTATGTATACGTGAACATGCACACATATATGAAACCAAAATAAGAGTTCCATGAAATTTACCCTTACCACATTTGAGGAGCTCTAATGCGGTCCATTCCATTTCACTTAAAAAATGTTAGTCACAACACATTAAGTTGTTATATATCCCACTAATGTATCATGACCCATAGTTGGAAAACATAGTGTTAGAGGGTTGAGGTGTGACTTTTGCTCTTTTGCTGTCAGGGCCTTGTGCTACCTTGGGAGCAACCCTGCCCTACCTGAGCCAATGGAACCCCATTCCGGACAACAACCAAATGCTTTTATTTCTTCCACAGAGATGGACCAGAAATGAATGGGCATTTACTGGGGAACCCAAAGACGTATTATGACCTAAATAATTTGCATATATTTCTTCATGTAATTCTCATAGTCATCCTATCCATTTGATATTTTCATTCTCCTTTCACAAACGAAGCAAATGAGATCAAAGAAGTTGTGTGATTCATCGGTGGTCACAAAGGTAATAAGTGGGATAATTGGCACTTGAACCAAAGACTGTTTGACTGCAGCTTCAGGACCAGGTACCTTTCTTCTGTATCAGTGAGATTACTGCCCCCAGCTCTCTCCTATATATAACAACTCTGGAGCTTGAATCCCTTTCCATTTTCCCTTGTGAATCCCAAACCCTCTCTTTGCTATATATGCTACTAGAATAACTTGAGAATAAAGATCTTATGTAGCAAATTTTTTTGTCTTGTACATGTGTGTTTGGTGATTATCCTCAGCCTCATGAGTATATTTATCCTTGTCTTATCCTCACATGTATTTCTAAGCAATATTTTGACAGATGCAAGGGCTGGCGTGGTAGAAGCAGCTGTCTGTTATGTTGTCTCCAATGACATATGACAATCTTCCTCCTTAATTAGGAACAGGATGTATGCATGATTTATATCCTCAAGCTATAACTCTCCAACAGGTGAAGTCTCAGTTGTTAGTATTTGAAATATCCTCTATAAAGCCTAAAATTGGTACAACAGAATGTGAATTGCAAAATGGCAGACACATCAGGTTCTGCCTGATATGATAAAAATAATAAAATTTCTTATTACCCTATAACTTGTTTATATATGAAATAAATGCGCCAATATATGGCACCTAGAGATGTCTAGAATAGAATTTTAAAGCTTCAGTGATCTTTGTTGAAGTTTGTGGTCAATGTCTTTGTGCTTGAAGGATATTTTCAAATGGGTTGGGGGTGGTAGTGCTAAAAGGGACATGAATCATGCATGAATAAATAGAAAAAGATCCTAGAATTATTTTGAGAGAATGGAAACTTGGTCACTTAAAAATATATTAATTATAAAATGAATACACATTTATTGTAGACAATTTTGAAACAAAAATGTATAAAGTAGAAAATAATATACTCTTAATACCCAGAGTAAAGTTAACTGTTAAAATTTTAGGTATATTTCACTCCAGTTTTTTTTTTTAATACATCTCAAATAAACACAGATGTTCATGTGTTTACAAAATTGGGATCAAGCTCATTATACTGAAACATAGTTTCATCTCTGCTTTTCTTTAAAAAAATTAAATTAATATAGAACTTTCCCATATGCCACTATATATTCTTTGGAAATACATATTTTTAAATCTATTTATTCCTTTCTTGGACATTCTGGGGTTTTTTAGGGTGTTAAAAGTATAGTCAAACATTG